TTTCGCACTGCGACCTCACAGATCTTTAAAAATTTTCTCGCTCGCTTCGCTCGCTCGTAAATGCATATTCAGACATCACACCCAACTGTAAAGTTTGAGGCTTAAGCGATATCTTGTATGATGTATGAAGAGAAACAAATATTGAAATCATCCCTGATAATGCAATCACAATGTAGGGGTATATACCAATGTCTAAAAATTGTATATTTTCGCTTTGAGATTTCCCACTGTAGGTGCCCTTTTTTCAGAAAGTGCCCTTTTTTGTTGGTGCCCCCCCCCCCCCCAACTTTGAAAGTCGCTCGGCCGCCCCTGCCTTGAGCAAAGTGATAATGGAAACTAGAGGATCTAAATAGACTCTGACAAAGACAAAGAACTTGGGGGACCAATAATATTAATGCTGCAAACAAATCCAACAAAGTTCTGTTTAGTTCAGCTATAGGCTACAAACCCAATATTCGTATCAACATCACCTTCAAAAGTTTGGTTGATTCTGAAAAAAATCTGTAATGAGAAGAACAAAAGAAAAGAATATGTAATGAACTATAGTCTTACTCTACACGGTACAAGTTACTCAACCCTTATTCTTTCCCCTCCCCCTTTTATTATTCTGCTTCCCGCCGTATATCGATGAAGGGGAGCTAGGGGGGGGGGTCTAGCTAATACGGAACTGGTTTATGTGAAAATCAAGCCAACCTTGCATGAACTTTATAGGTCGCACACCACAAACAAATCTAAGCATATACTAGCCTAGAAACGATCCCAACATAGACTAAATAGTTGGTATAATCAGTGCTCGGGGGCTGTTGATCCACTAAATAAAATTAAAACGTGGTTTTGAATACTAAAATAATAATACTTAACTTCGATACCAGTGATTTACACAAATATTAATGTTTACGCCTTTAATGACATGATTTCCCGTTTTTTTTCCCCCTCTCATTCTCGCCCATTATGCCAGAAGCGGCACTCCGGGTGGGGAGAGTGGGCACTGTGCCCCCCATTTTGCAGGTGCTGCTATAGAATTCGTAGCATAATTGACAAGACCCGTGTTCTATTCATTATGCAATGTGAGGGCAGTGGCCTATTGTCAGCTAGTGTTTTTTTTTTCTTTTGCTACATCTACAACAATTAGTATAAGAATTTCCGTTTCGGTTTAATAAAATTTGGAGTGGACTATTAGGCTATTATTATTATTATTATTATTATTATATAGGCAATTGCTTGGTAACTGGAAGGTACCAGGTTCGACACCCATCTAGTGTTTTTTTTAAAATTTTGCCACATCTACAACAATTAGTATAAGTATGAAGAAAATACATTGAGATTATCAATGTGACACTTTAGTCTAGTGGATAGGCAATCGCCTGGTAACTGGAAGGTACCAGGTTCGACACCCATCTAGTGTTTTTTTTTTAAATTTTGCCACATGTACAACAATTAGTATAAGTATGAAGAAAATACATTGAGATTATCAATGTGACACTTTAGTCGAGTGGATAGGCAATCGCCTGGCAACTGGAAGGTACCAGGTTCGACACCCATCTAGTGCTTTTTTTAAATTTTGCCACATCTACAACAATTAGCATAAGTATGAAAAAAATAGAGATTATTAATGTGACACGTTAGTCTAGTGGATAGGCAATCGCCTGGTAACTGGAAGGTACCAGGTTCGACACCCATCTAGTGCTTTTTTTAAATTTTGCCACATGTACAACAATTAGTATAAGTATGAAAAAAATACATAGAGATTATCAATGTGACACTTTAGTCTAGTGGATAGGCAATCGCCTGGTAACTGGAAGGTACCGGGTTCGACACCCATCTAGTGCTTTTTTTAAATTTTGCCACATGTACAACAATTAGTATAAGTATGAAAAAAATACATTGAGATTATCAATGTGACACTTTAGTCGAGTGGATAGGCAATCGCCTGGTAACTGGAAGGTACCGGGTTCGACACCTATCTAGTGCTTTTTTAAAATTTTGCCACATGTACAATTAGTATAAGTATGAAAAAAATACATTGAGATTATCAATGTGACACTTTAGTCGAGTGGATAGGCAATCGCCTGGTAACTGGAAGGTACTAGGTTCGACACCTGATATACCACATTTACAAATAATTCATATATTTTTTTTAAAAACTAATTTTGGAATTTATAATAAATATTATTGTTGTTGTTGTTGTTGTTGATGTAAAACAGTAAGAAAAATAGGTACTTTTTGCGGGGGGGGGGGAGCAATGTAGAAAAAACTATTTGGGGGGGGGGCAAATTTGAAATCTATTTGAAATTTAGTCTGCTGAAATTTGAAAATCGTGCCGGTGTGACCGCGCCGTTTGTCCTACCAGTTTAGTGTGTCCGTCGGACATAATATGCGGGTTTTCTGCTCGCACGGATCGTCCGCCGATATTTCACTCAGTGGGGGGGGGGGGGGGGGGGAGGAGGGGGGGTAGTGAGCACTAAATTTGATGGGGGGGGGCTCTCAAAAAATTTAAAAGCCAGGGGGGCATCTAAACAAAAAGAAGATAAAATAAGGCGTGTTTTTACACGTTTCTTTTCCCAGGGGGGGGGGGGGTAGCTGGCTCTCGTCGGCTAGCTGGCTCTCGTCAACATAGCCTGCGGCCGGTAGCTTTAACCACAAAGTCATACGGTCCATTGATGTTGCCTGCAAATGAATAGATGAATAAAATATGCATACGGAAAATTGAAATGTTATAATCACTAGAATTTGTGAACGCAAGAGACTTCTGGATGAAAAGTTGAAATACCTCTTTGTCTGTCTAGATCTTGGCTAATAGTATTTGATCCGTCAGTGTATATGGTCTGGGAGAGCCCAGAAGAGATGCCATAGCTATAGTTAACTGTACTATATATTATTTTGCATTCTGCCAAAGCCTATATCCTTTTGGTTTCCTCCTTAATCACCTATTGGGACACTGTTCAAAATATTGCATACACTGTAAAAAAATAATAGTCGAAATAACTCAATAAAATTGAGGAAAAGAATTGCCTTATTTTTATTAAGTAAATATTACCTACGGCATCTTAGGTAGAATTTACTTATTTTGCTGAATAAATTTTTACTCAGTTAAATCGAGTTACATTAACGTAAATAATTTAAGTATTGTAATCATTTTAGATAATTAAAAAAAAAAAGCTATGTTAGGATTACATATTGCACGATTTGGTACCCATCTAATCTAACAAGTAACATCCACTAATCATTCACTACTTCTATTTAAGATTAATCACTAATCACTAACACTACTTCTATTAAAGATTTAACTGTATATATATATATATATATATATATATATCTACCACCATCACAAACTATTGCATACGCTTCAATTCGACACATACTGAAAGGCTCCAAATTTTATATATACTTGATCGTAGCATCTTAAAAGGAAAATTGGTTGACAATTTCCTGAAATATCAAGTTTTGATTTGTTTTGAACTGGGTAACAATTAAAAATTGTCTTGTCTTTGCTTAGCCATGTTAAATGAATTAGTAAATGTTTTTAAGTCCTTAACTTTTCATTCAACCACAAAAAAGAATTGTTTTATTTAAAAAAGAGTTTAATTTGGTCTTAATGAATATTCATAAATTATGTAAATATTTCTATTACGCACTGCATCGGTCCTTACTTTAAAAATATAAGAATAATTAACATAAATTGTTTGAGTAATACGTACAATTTCTGATTTTGAGTTAAAATTACTAAATTAATACAAGCTGAAATTACTTAAAGTTCTTATGTATTTGATTTTACTTAAATATTCCAGGCACACGTATGTTCTACTAAATTGAAAGTTTGAGTTAGCAAGACTTAAATTTAGTGCGCAAGTGGCAAAACTAATGTCTTCAAGTAAATTCTACATGGAAAAAATACGTAAAAATTACCAATGAACAAATTCTTTTTTACAGTGTAGTAATATATCATACACAGGTCGTCTAAAAATAATAGATTCTCCTCAGAATAAATTCATTTTTAAAAAAAGAGAAATTTATTTCGCTCGTTGGAACAAATGAGAGAGTTTGTCCGGCACTAAATCACAGTGACATACAAAAAGGCCTACATATCCAGCCAGTTTAACTTTTTAATGACAACCCAAGTTTGTAATAACTTTATTTGTATGAATTGGCCTATTATAATTATATATATGTTTTCAACTTACCCGTTTGTCGTGTACAAAAAATAAGTAATATTTACACGGTTTTCAAGTTCTTCAAAGTATCTTCTCCCTTGGGGCAAGTCTCAAAATGGATTGTATGTTATTATATTATTGGTCCGCCCAATAGAAAACACCCTCTTGATCGAGACTACATTTTCATTATGAAGGCATTTGAAGAGCTATGCTATTCACTTTTCCAAGAACATTTTTTCTCTGATGTTCTTCCATACTAACAATCACAAATTATTTTTCACTTCTGCCCAGAACAGAACAGAACAGAACAGAACTCTTTAAGTACTCTCCAAAGGACTAATAAATATGTGTCGTGATCACAACTTGCACAAAAAACAGTTTGTACTTTTTCCTATTTCGTTCAAACTTCTGCTTTCTTTTAGAGCAATTAGTTAAATTTTCAGCTAATAAAGTAAACATGTTTTAGTATCTGTTTGAAATCTCGCACTAAAATCAGACACTGCATCATAACTACATGTGCCTCAGTCTTCGAGAACCTTTATTTGGGAAAATAAAATGTTTTAAAAAATGTAACTATACTAATTACTAGAAAGAAAACAAAATACTGTTTCATTTTTTATTCAGAAGTCGGTGCCCCCCGCCCCCCCCCCCCCCCACCCCCGCCCGCGTCATTTTTTTCTACGGCACAGATTGGTTTTTTTTTCTTAAGAGGTCTTGATTTAACCCTAACCCTAACCCTAACCCTAAACTTTCCCATAGGCTCAACACGCACATAACCCCAATCTGTGCCGCAGAAAAAAATACGCCCCCCGCCCCAACCCTTCTTCTCTCACTTCGCCGCGCCACGATCATGGAGTACGGTACCGGTATTAATCGATATCCTGCAAACGAACACAATACAATAGCCGGTGCTGTGAATAGGAGAAGTGCCGAGCAGACGACGATAATGGGAACTAAAAATGGACGATTAGATGGCAAGAAAACGCCTACAAATAAAAAGTTTAGATCTAGGAAGGAAAATGGAGGCAACAGGGAATCTTCGGAGATAAAGTGGATGTTTTCAACGTGGAATTTGGCCGTGATTTCACTAGGTAGGTAGCCGAAGTTAAAAAGCAGCGAAAGCCGAAACTGTGATGATGTGGATGTGCGCTTTGCCGACGCTATATTGGCCCGGCCGCGCGTTTCCGTTTTACACCCTGCCCTAGGCTTTTCGGCAAGAAATTACACGAAACATGCTGTATCCGAAGTCTAAGTTTGTTTATATCGACGTCAAGAATAGCGAAGCCAAAGCTTATGTACAATTTCAATTGGGGATGCGAGGGTCTTCTTGTTCAAGACGGTTTTCCCGATATATTATTGTTTTGTTATCGCTGGGCTAAATTTTGCGAGCTGATCACGCATCCTCACGCTCTTAGAGTATTGCGTATTAATGGATAAAAATAAATGATACGACTAGGAAGATCAACTAGTATAGAGAGTTAGCTAGCGCTACGTGACGTTTTCAGAGTTCTGGTGGTGTGCAGAGCGCCGAGGCAAGATGTGGACGACTAGACTCCGAATACCAGTCGGTTTGTAAAATTTTATTGGAGAAAAGCCTAGGGCAGGGTGTAAAACGGAAACGCGCGGCCCGGCCCAGCCCGTGGTAAGCTCATCGTCATCGTGGAGTTTTGAGTTGGAGCTGTTCACTCCGGCCCCGCTCAGTCACAAAGTCAAATGCAAGGCATTGGCAATGCTACTGGGCTAGTAGACCTAGATCTACTAGATCTATGCCAGACAGAAATAACCGTCTGGTATGGGGAATTCTTGTATAGAACTGACATTTGCCAACCTGATAAATAATTTTCCAGATTGATTTGATACCATAAATTCATAAAAAATATCAATAAAAAATGATGCAGCCCCCCGTTGGTTCTCACATCATATAAGCTTACTAGCTTGGTTTTTACTTGCACTGGACTTAGCATATTTTACTGTAAATTGACAAGTGCTTTGTCCACACACCATTCCAGCAATTCATGACACTCCTTGTAGTCACTTGCCTCACCTACCATCCCAGTATAGCTTCCTGAGTGAGCTGCCAAAGGGATTACCCAACCAAGTACCAAGTAAATCATTTAACTAGGTCTAGATCTAGATCTAGATTAAGAACTGCCTTTTTTTTTGTTTAACGTAGATCTAAATCTTATCCAGACCGTACACGGTTTGTAAGAATTGAATTGATATTTGATGTAAAAATGGTTTATAAAGACTCAATCACGTTCAAAAGTACGAAGATACGACAACAGCATGGTGGCCTGTATTCATGGGCGTCAATCCTTACGTAGAGTAAAACCGCCAAACTTCGGACGTTGCCAAGCTTCGGACAAAAATTACTTCAACGGCTCGAACGCAAAATATGAGCCTAGCTCAGGCGGGTAACTTGCATGCATTTGATACTACTACTAACCTATATCGTTAGTACAAAAAGTTAGGGCAGGTTGCCGTCTGCAAAACTCACAAAAAACATCGAATTCAGAGACAGATTTCAGGTTACCTAGATTTTTACAGTTCCTTAACAGGGGAGTTGAGGTGTAGAGCCTCCAATATATCGATTTCAAACAAATCCTTGGCATATTTCAGGTGGTTTCTGCCAAAATTATGGGAGCTTATGAGATACTTTTTCACTCTATCGCGAAAATTTTCTAATGGCGGCCGTTACCACGGACCTAGGGGTACTAGATAGATTCCCCTACCAGAAGATGGCGCTCTTCCAAGCTTCGGACAGGCAACATTGAGTGTCATTTTGACCACGAAAAAATAGCGCTTTCGTTAGATTTTAGCACCAAAATATTGTACGAGTGTTGTGAAAAACACCTTTCTGATATAGTTCTACCTAACTTAAACCTACCCAAAACGAGAAAATAATAATTTTTTTCATGAAATCAACGCAGTCAAACTTATACCCCCGTCGTACGATTTTGATCCGGTTTCCAAACCTCCGATGAATGCGCACTTTAGGGCGCGCGCTATACGTGCGCTACACATGAACGTCCGAAGCTTGGCAAGTGCGTCCGATGCTTGGCATGAAAACAGGTTCGGCGGGTAAGTAAATAATTCTAGTTTTCCATTTCCTTTATTAATTTTCTTTTACATGATATACATAAACAGTATTTGCACAATAATATATTTGATCTTTTAATAATTAAAAAAGAATTTTATGTTTTCCCCCGTTTTGTCTTAAGTGTCCGAAGTTTGGCGGTCTTACTCTAATACCTATTGTTCAGGAGGGGATGGATGAATAGATCATTACGTAAGGATTGACGCCCATGCCTGTACTTCAACAGAAGAAGAAGAAATGTGAACTAGGAATCAATCTGCATCTAGGCCTAGGCCTAGCCCTAGGTCTATACAGTCACTTATTGAAAGAATTTGGTTTTGTGATATGATTTGGTCGATCCCTGTTATATGTTAATTCATCTTTTTATCTTCTCTTCCTCTTTATCCCATAGCTCTGACGTTTGGTGTGTTACATGGGTAAGAAACTAAGAATTCATGTTTTATATACCGGTAGAGTATAATTAAGATCAGTTTGTTTGCCTGTTCATCTGTCCATCTTGATTTGTGTGTACTAAATTTCGATATATTGATTTCCAATTCTCTTGCTGTTTTGGTATTTCCAGAAATTGGTCTTGAAAAAAGAATTGACAGATGAAAAGTCTATACAATAGACTAATTTTTAACTTCAGGAATAAGAAAGGAAGATGGGATTTCTGTGTTATAGACATACAGTATACATGTACAGTATATGAAGAGTTTAATTCCGAAAAGAGCTACATGTTCATGTAAATCCATTTTTGTAACTTTGGAGAAAAAAGAATTTGTTTACGAGATTTTATACAGGGGTCTATGGAAAAGTGATATTAGAAGGTGCATTTTTATCATAATTGCTCGAAAAATTGGGGTAAATACTTTTGTTGAAAGACGGGTACTTATAGTGAACAACTTTCTGATATCAATAACTCAATTTTCATCAAAATTGGATTTAGCTCCATTTGGAATTAAACTCTTCATATGTTCCACACCTCTATACAATTCAAGATTTAAGATAAGAAGAAAAAATATCACTTCTCTCTGGTTGAAATATTTTGTAATCTTATTTAAATTGCTGTGGATTCTGACAGGGCATTCTAATGTTGCCAGCACCTTTGTTGGCAATATAGTTGACTACGGTAATTAAACAATTTGCACAAGCAGTGATCCAAGCTGTTTCTCTCTAATGTCAACAAACATCAAATTGCTTCACGCAATGATGAAAAATGTAATTACTTTGTAATCTTAATTAGTGCTAGAGCATGTATGCGATTGCATTGTGAAAGAAACGTTGTGGAATCGATCAGAAAAGGTTGATCATCTAGCATATAAGTATTGGTGTGTACTGCAAGGTTCTGGAATCATCAAAATGATATGAAATTTGGCCCAGTCTTGGTAAAGTTACAAGCACTGTACACAGAAAGATGTTCATATATATATGGGACTACCGCGACACGTGCGTTATATCTATCAGGTCCATAGATATTATAGAAATGATGCATGCCCTCGTTGATGCTGTGTGTATCTATCGCACTCAGCCTAACGGCTTCGTGCAATACATGTAGATACACACAGCCTCAACTCGAGTGCGGATAGATCGTATAATGAACGAATGAAAACATGCATCATTTGTTTTATGCAACGAAACTCCTAGATCCTTGTTATTTGATGTAAAAAGAATTCATTCAAGATTAGTTCGTGACAGTATATGGCTGACAAATAAATCTCAAGTTTAATAAGGCTTAATTTAGTGCGCACACATAGCTATATATATAGCAAGCGCACTAATTACCTCTATACCCATTTAGGCATAGTGCTGCGCAAGAATAGGCTCATGCTCACGCAGTATTAAGCGCCCTAACCTCAACGCGCACTACTGCGTTCTGAAAACGAGTTCAATAGTACTGGAAAATATTGCACTCTTTTTCATGAAAACGAGTGCAATAGGCTCAATAAATGAATCACACGTGACCGCGAATGACCAATCATTTGATTAGGATCTGGGAGTGAGTTGTATGAAATAATTTACCAAATATATCAATTAGTAGGCTGTAATTCAGCACAAACAGTACACCCTCATCCACCAACTGTCTATTTAAACAAAGGAGTCCTGCCAATGCCGTGTTATGATACCATGACCTTTAATGCGCAAAGCGCGAAGCAATGCACAATGACTGAACTTCTGAAGCGAAGTGACGTGAGGTAACCATGAAGTGTGGTTCAATCTGTATACAAACAAACAAAACATAAGCAATAATAAATACCTTGCTTATAAATCAACAATCACAAGCATTATCTAATACTGCTCTACTGTAAGTCAAATAGCGGAATCTTATTACCACTTACCGGTAACTGCTTTAATTAGCTTGACTTCATTAATATTAATGAACATATCGTACAAAATGTCCATTTACACCCACTGACTGTCAATGTCATGAGTCAAATTCTACACAACTCAAAATTAACCATGCCAGTTTTGCGGCTAAATCATGCCAGTTTTGTGGCTAAATCATCCTTTCACATTACTAAGTAATTTACCTACGGCTATCTTGCCTGTTAACCTCATAACATTTATATCCCTAACCTTACATGTCATTATTTATGTATTATACATGCCTTTATCAACTCACATACATGTACATGTACATGCTCATGCGAGCAGCCATTTTGAAATGCCCAACCATGTAGCTATTTCAAACTTTTCATCAAATACAGTTAATAATACACCTTAAAGTATCACAAATTAATAATCATACTATTCTTTAACATCTTAACTACATGATTTGACATAAATTAACACTTACAACGTTGGGTATCGACAGGATTGACTTGATTAATAGTCGGCGGAATCACTGGGTAAATATTCCCACTCACAGAAGAATTTGCTGTCCGTAGTGATAAACGCCCCCACCGGCCAAACTAAGTTATTACGAAAATGACGACAAAATTCTGTCCGCAACAGGCGGTTTCTCTGCAAAATTTGTATGATCAAGTTTAAGTCAAAACATATTCTTTCACATGATTGGTAATAAGAGCTTCCATTTCTTTTTTTGAGAGGGGGGCGTTTCCAAAACTGGTCTTTACCTTTAAAATTTTGTTTTACTGAAAGTACTACAAAGTGTTTATCGTCATGTAGGTGCTTCACAATTGTGTAGATGATGAGAATGTATTCAGAATTGTTTGATTTATATCGTAACAGGTGGCACATCTCTAGTATGTTTGAGAATGACAGATTCTTCTCACATTTATCTGACCTGGAAAGAGAGATGACATTCAGAACAGAAATGGTGAGCTTATAATTTAGACACACACGCACACCATCAGGTATCATAGGCCTTCCTTTAGTAGTAAAATTTTATCAAAGTAAATCAGTTATGGTAATGACTTCTTACTTTTACCATTCCATTCTGTATGTAAGTTATTTCAACTTTCCATATTCTCTCTTTTCATGTTTTAAATTTATGTGATAAACAAAATAGTGGATTTTCAAAACATATTTCTCAAGCATTGTATTTTTGAGTAAATATAATTTGTCACTTGACCTTGATTTTCAAGTTTTAATGGTACAATGTAATGTTAAATAATATTTTAGAATATGCGAACACGCACTATTCAGTTTCTATTTTATTTTGACAAGGGGCTGCCTGAGGTTGTTTCCATGTTAAGCCATTGTGATTCCTGTATTAAGCTCTTGGCGAGCTCCACGCTTTTCTTCTTACAAGGGGGCTGGATACAGAAATTTGAGGGCAATGATCCCTTCTGAACCCACTGCTTACTGGAACCGGATGGTCCCTGTGTTAATCCTATGGGGATAAAAGAAATTGGTAACCAATGGGTTAATATTTAAAAACTTGAGGGGTTTAGTGTGAATTCATGTAGGCTGTTCATCCCAGACTCCAGGAGGGTGTTTCACAAAGCCTTTTTTTCAATGACAAATGACAAACATCAGTGACAAATTTGCTGATAACCAATCAGAAGCAAGGATTTCAGTAGCTTATAACAAAAACTGTAATTTGTCACTGATGACAAGTTTTGTGAAACGCCCCCCCCCCCCCCCAATTATTGTCAGGTCCTGTCAATGAGTATTAAAATAATTTCTTCCTATTTTGTCTTCAGGGGTTGTATTACTCTTACTACAAGACGATGATAACGGCCCCTAGCATGGGACAGGGTCTTCTTGCTATCATGCATGATAATGTGACGGAGTATCCTAGCACCATCAACACGCTCAAGAGATTCAATCTCTACCCTGAGGTGAGGAATCATGATTGAATAAGGGAGTTTATAGATACAATCTGCGCATGGGCAGATAATGGTCATTTGTACCAAAAAGGTAAAATCCCATAGAGATGAATACTGGATATGCGCTCATGAAAGTTATGTAACATTATTCATTTATGCACCAACGGTACAGTCTATGATACGTAGGTGGAAGTATTCTTTTCAAGAGGGCAAACAAAAGGTATTCATGGAGCACATCTAGGACTTCGGCAGTTATTATTGTATATGCTCAAAGTGGAACTTCTCCATGTGTAAAAGATCTGTGGATATTTGGGGTCATTTGTACCATGTGCTACATGTATCTGTAAACTCCCTTATTCATAATTATCATAATCATAGGATTATTTAAATACTTTTGTCTTTTTTTAATTATGTTAAAATGAAAATTGATGTAAATAATAATAATAATAATAATAATAATAGTGGGTTCTTGTATAGCGCTCATGTCAGTCAGATTTGACCCTCCTGGCGCTCCCGATTATTACCCTGGCTTTAGCACGGCTGCCATACGGCGCTCTAGCATTTCAAGGAATAAATTCCTACCATATATATATGAAATGTGAAATATGTGAAATAAACGCTATGAATATGACTGACAAAGAAAGCGGACAAAATATACAGTTCCTCAGGTAGATAAAGGAACATCCCTTCACTGCTATTATGTAAAAATGTGTAGAACACGTGTCACATGTGTATTCACTTTTTACATAATAGCAGTGATGGGATGTTCCTTTGTCTACCTGAGGAACTGTATATTTTGTCGGCTTTCTTTGTTCGTCATATTCATAGTGAAAACACCTCGGTAAGAGGACAAGAAAGAAAACAAATAATCATAGGAACAGGTTCTGTCTAAAGTGCCAAAGCCAATGGAACGGTCTGCTAACATATGTAAATTGTATGCATACTTTTTAGACAAAGGTTGTTTTTGACAACCTAAAAGCTTGCCAGAGGCTTGCCAGACAGAGCAACAAGTAATGTATGCAGACTGGATTCAGAGTATTGTAATTCATTCATTAATAACAGGTTAATGGAACAACTCGCTCCCAGGAAAGAAACATCCATACATTTGGATATTTTAGTAAAGCGGTTTTATTGAATCACCAATATGTTTTAGTTTTTTAAGCTATTGACTTGGCTTTGATTATTAAGTTACAGCATTATGGACAGCTAAAGATCATAGATGTAGTGCTCTGTATATTCCTACTTGGTTGCATCTATGTATGATAATAGTTGGGATATGTGTATCTCATTTATCAACATATTTCCATTGGCCTTAAAAATTAGATGTATCCCTTGTATTAGTAGGCTACATGTACATGTATGTAGCCAAATATTTTCAAGGTTGACAAGAAATACATTGATTCCTACATCTGGGACGGGACAAATACATGTACTGTAACTATAGATAGAATCTTTTGTCTGGTAAAGTAAAACATTATTTCATCAAGTAAAGAATAGTTTTCTTTATTTTAATATTTGCAGCTTAGTTCAGGCATATTCTCACATTTTTGCCTCAATCTGAAATAACTAAATTCTTATCTGAAGCTCTGCTTGTACAAGTGATACAATGTGTTTTTTTCCTGTCAGGTTGTATTAGCAGCAGGTTTTAGATTCTATGATGGAGTCACAAAACTCCTGGATATCAAGACTAAGGATTGTTACACAGTAAACCGAGGAAGAGGTCTCAGTCCAGTACTTAATTGTGAAGGTAAGATGGGGATTTTTTTTTTAAATAAATAAATATTTAAAAAATATATAAATGTATGTAGAGTCAGTCAAGTGGTTTCATAACTTGACTAGGAATGCAGAGGTCATGGGTTCTAGCCCTAGCATGGCACATGTATACATTGCTCCTCTTTTTCCAGGGGAGAAGAATAAGAGGAGAAGGGGAGAAGAACAAAGAATAAGATCAACTTTAAGTTGGACTTAACTATGGCAGGCCTTTCATGCCACTATTTTCTCTTATCATTTGGTTTCTCAAGGGCAGACCAATGGTGGTCACAAATCTACAGAATTTACATTTTTTTTATCGTTCATCATTGAAGGAAAGGTATTATCTAATGTTCAATGGAGAGACCAATGGAGAGAGCAACCAGTGGCATGAATGGCCTACCAAGGCTACCATAGTTGAGTCCAACTTCAAGTTGATCTTAGTCTTTGTGAAACACCCCCTGGTATTATAAGTCAATGTGGTTTGATAAGCATGTGATTCTTTGATACAGGCAACTGGCTGGAATGCTTCCTAGAGGAGTGGAAAATATACATTTAATTTGCAGAATTGTAATTAGGAATCCAGTGACCAGGGTAACAATATTTTGTGTTGAGAATGGATTGATTAAAGCCCCACTGCTCTAGTTATAGCTACTTGCGCCCTCTATACATACAGTCAACAATGCATAAGCGTACCCGTTGATCCCCCACGATGCCCTTTTTCTTACGTTAATTGAGAACTGATTTGATGAGATAACCACCTGCCAGTTACCATGCAGGGAGGTCTAGTTCCTCCTGGCCAAACTAGTGCAGAGGGGCTTTAATGCATCAGGATTCCTGTAATACATGTAGTTTATCCTTCATTTTGTCCTATTTTAATTCTCAGGAATGGGAGATCCAGCTTATTACTATGTGAATTGGATCTTCATTGAGAACGGCTTCTTAGTGTCTCTCTTATTCGTCTTTGCTACATACCTCAGTGAAAGCCTTCTTGGTGGTCTAATAACTGTAGCTGCTTTCTTCTATAACCATGGAGAGGTAGGAATGTTTTTTTCATTTATTCAAGCCTGATAATTACCCAATTTAAATCTGTTTCCCGATTATTTATTTATTTATTTTTTTTTTTACTTCCAGATTTTTCCTGATTTTCCCCCAATTTTGAGTTAGATGTAACTTTCATACAGGGCTTGATATGAAATCTCCCCCCTTGTTATTTGTAGTCCTTAACCATTTGAATTTGTTATATATTTGTATGTGTCATAATATGTAGCTTTCTTGGGGTGATTTTTATGCTTTTTAACAATGTAATGTACAGTATTCATGTATTTAAATTATTTTATTTGTTTTTTTTAATGTAGATGTTGCTCTTCAAACTTGTAAGATTATCTGCACCACAAAATGTCCATATAACATGTAGTTTCCATACAAGTCAAGATGGTCCCTTATAATCTTATTTATTTCTGTGCCAGTTTGTTGTTCTCTTTAGGCATTGAATATACAGTTCCGGTCCTGTGTTTACCTGTTTTCTGCAACGTGCAAAGGGGGTTTATATATTAGTTAACTTATCAACTGATTACAATAAACTTGTAATGTTTATTTACAACAGTGTACACGAGTGCAGTGGACCCCTCCGCTAAGAGAGAGCTTTGCATACCCTGTGTTTGTTCTTCAGATGCTCCTGGTTACCCATGTCCTCAGGTCAGTCAGTCAGTATGATGAAAATTCCTATTTTCAAGGAGTGTATTTTCCATAAAATCTTTTTGGAGCCATAAGGGCAATATTTTTGTGTAGAATGATACAAGTCACACCTTCTGGCTCCAAACAGATGAAATTTTAATTAGTATCAGATATTTGTAATGGGTCGAGCATAGAAAATCAATATGAAACGTGTTCAATTTCAATTGCATATGTTGTCCTTGAAAAATGTTCTTGATTATTTCTGCATGGCTGCAACCCTTTTATCAAATGACATTGTACTGATTTTCTAAAGACTCACCTTAAGTGTGTGTTTTGTTGTTGATGTACTCCCAATACCAATTTGAAAGTCTTGATTGTATATATCATTATCTGTATTTCTTTTTCAAAATAAGGTTCCTTTTGTCCTTATGTGCGTGTTATCTATTGAATCTATTTGTATGCCCCTGGGCAGAGAAATGGCAGAGAAATGGCAATATAAACATATTATTGTTATACAGTAGGTTTTATGGTGCACCATGTGAGAGAGAGAGAGGGTTGAGAAGTCCTGAAAAGGACTCTGACTCAGTAATCTTCCTTGGGGGTGTGTAGTCCTGAAAAGGACTGTTGTTATCTTTCTTAGCATATAGTTTATTATTGTTGTTCTTATTTCCAGGATTTCTAAGCCGATGTGGTATCACAGTGTAGCCATCGGTGCAGGTGTGGTTGCCTTCATGCTGCCATGGCAGTTTGCTCAGTTTGCACTACTGACACAGGTAAGCATCTGCTTTAAAGGCATCAATTAACAATGTTAAATCTGAGATGCATGGCCCTACGTGTTATCAGTGTCTGTGATTTATGGTGTAATATTGAAGCCCTAAAAAATTGGGCTTCAAGAAGTGCCTCAAAAAAGTAAAAATCTTTGGATGACCGGTTTTACCATACCGTTTTTGCCGGCGATAAGGCCGCAGCGCCGTATGGGCCGCACCCCCGATTTTGACATTTAAAAAAAAAAAAAAAAAAACTTTTTGTCAAAGTCGAGATTTGATCTCTTGCGTATAAATGTTGATTTGACTAAAATCACCGCCCTAGACCGCTCGGCCATCCCGCACTGATGCTAGCTTATGTAGTTTTTTGTGATGTATACATTGCGCCTCTCTCTTGTGTATTGAAATGGATTCAAAATAGCGACTTTGCGTGCTGGATGCTTCGCGGCAGCTCCGTTAAACAGGCCCTTCTTTTACTTTTGCAATGCATTGGCACGAACTTAGATCAAGATCTATCGGCAGATGTTGTTTTTGGAAGTTTATTTTCGTCTTCATGTCAACAATGAAAGATAAAATTGTCGGTAAGATGTGTGGAAATGTGTAGTTATTGTACCGTTCGTAGATCTAGTCCCATATGTGCAAATTTGTGCTGGTTTTGACTTGCTTTTAAAAAATTTTTTACTCTTTCGTCACATAGGCCTCACCCGGACTTTTTGATATTTTCTCTTCCAAAAATACTGCGGCCTTTACGCCGGCAAATACGGTACTCGTTTTCCCCAATAGACTGTAGTGTTATGAAAACCGTTAAGAAAACGCAAAATTTCGTTTCGATTTCCAATCATAAATATCTTGATAATCAGACAGGCGATCGGCTTGTAAAAGTCATGGGGTTCCTGACTGACCTAAAGGTTTATAATTATCATTGCAGCATGAGCTAAAATCCAGGATTTTGTTTCAGGATCTGAGACAAAGTTACCGCATCTCTTTAATCATTCAGTGTTTGACATTGAATCATTTTGTTGTTGTTGTTTGGATATCATGGAAATAATTGTCTCTGTATGGATGTTTTCTGTCATGTCAGTTTTGCTCAGCTCTTGATTAGAATTCAAGCACCTGTTCATACAGTATCATTGAATGTTCAGTAGATTGCACACTGAGTGACCTTTGACCCTTCATTTAGATAAGCATTGTTCTCTTTTCAATTGGATGTGACTGTGATTGCCTCTATGTTTTCATGTAAGTTTTGCTCAGTTTGATCTCAGATCAGGTTAAAATTATGTACACCTGTTTTCCTCATTGAATGTTCAATGGATTGCCCTCTGAGTGACCTATAACCTTTTACCCTTCTGAGTCACTTTGTTCTTGTTATAAGGATATCACGACAGTAATTGCCTTCATGCTGTCATGCCAGTTTTGCTCAGTCTACTGCGCTAATAGAAGCACCTGTTTCGTACATCCAATGTTCAGTGAATTGCACTTAGAGTGACCCTTGGCTTTTAACCTGTCTGTTTTACTTCTGGAGCTATTGGGATAAATGCAGTTGACAACATCAGGAGACTGTCTAGACCGTTCCTACGAATGAATGCGTTTACTTGCAGTTTCTTTCAGTATGTCTATCTACATCTCTCTCTCTCTCTCTCTCTCTCTCTCTCTCTGTCTGTCTCTCCGCCTCTCTATCTATCCCCTTCTTTACCTGTCAAAATCTATTTTCACCTCTGTAGACATTAGCTCTCACTTCTATTACCCCTGCCCTTTTTTATGTCACTGTCAATATATTTATCCATCTCTTGCTTTCCTCAGCAATTCTTCAACTCCTTATTCCATTATTTCATGTAAATCAATCTGTGTCAAGGTTATAAATCAATTTTCAAATTATGTTGCTATTGTTTGTTGTGTGTAAGTAATTTTTTTTTTTTTAATCATTTTTAATTTGTAGTTTTAAAAGGGATGGTAAGGTATTATTAATAATGTTTAGGGGCTGATATGTACATTGTACAAGTATGTTTAGCAGGGTTGTATCAAGTCTGGAAATATTACTAACATATTAATGTTTTCATGTCATGAACTTGGGTATTGCACTGACTTTTCAAATGGGAAGTAAACACTGTCATGAAGTCTAAATAGCTCTAGACCTGTAACAATGTAACATGGGCAGTCGTTTAGCATCACATCTATTTATCAACGCTACACGCACACCTCAGCTTAGCGGTGATCAGGGCATGAATTTAGCCGGAGTTGGCACCTTAATGGGCTCCCCACTGTGAGGTTAATCTAATTAGTAGTCCCACCTATGATATTCTATGTTTGCCTATAACATGATATTTGGGTAACCCTTTGTTTTCCTCTGCCCAGACCCTGGCTGTGTTCGCTACCTACATGCTGGGTTTCGCAGGCTCCAGCAAGGTCAGATGCATTCTTCAGGGGCAAAGTGTAAGTCAATGCCTCGCTCAAGTACGGTGTGTGATATGAAAAATACAAACAATAATACATACTACCATGTGAGGCAATATGTGCTTAGCTGTACTAATTTGTTGTTGTTGTTGTTAGGCCCTGTAGGCAAGCTCTATAGTACTAGGAAATTAAGATAGCAAAATATTGAGAAAAAAAACATGACACCCCAATCTTTGTAAACCCCTGCACCCACATTTAATCAACATGCATATTCTTTCTCAAGGTCTGTATTTTGATACACATATATTTTAAGTTGATACTTGAAAAAATCATATCATTAACATTATTGGTACTACAGAAGTTTAACAACTTTTCTCTCTGTTTTTATGAATCTTCTTCATCCAAAGACATCCAGATTGTGTGCTCTATATTTGTGAATTGAACTACACTCAAACCTGTCTATAGTGACCACCCAAGGGTTCCTTTAGTACATGATTTAAAGAGAAACCATTTTCAAGGGAAACAAAAAATTGGTCTTTGTAGACAGGTGGTCACTAAAGCAGGTTTGACTGTATTTTTACATAGTGAATTGGCTGATGATTTTGTATTAAAGTGGTTGATAATTATTAAGACCTTATTTGAAAGTTCTCATTAAGCTTGGTCTATTTGTGAGTTAGAACTAGAAATGGAACAATATGTACACAGAGAATTTGCTGATGATTTTGTATAAAAGGGGTTGATAACGATTGATTCTTATCTCAAATTTCTCATATAGCTTGGCCTATTTGTGAGTTACATCATGCTGTTTGGTAATGAAATGTTACTTACTTCATTCTTTGCTGCCTGTCTTCTCACTGTCTGGGTAAGTAGTTCAGGGTTTTTTTCTTCTCCAAAATCATTGATTAAATTTCACTCTAATTTATTAATTAATTGATTAATTTTATTTAAGCAGGGTTGCCTATTCAGTCTTCAGGTAACAAATTGCTGTCCCTGAGGGCCCTGCATAATAAAAACAATGTATATAAAATATTTATAGACTTAATGAATACAAATTGAGCACATAAATATCCTAAAAAACAAAGGTTAAGAAAACAAAGATAAATAACATAAGAAGAAATATGAATACAATATTGTAAGGTGTAAGTTAACTAATTATAAACATATGGTATGATCAAAACATCCAACTGATAAATTATTCAATTGTCCAATACTGATTACTTTCGTTGAAAGAAAAAGAGGTAAGAAATAGAAAACTATAGCAGTGATGAACTTGGAAGGTACTAGACATGTTTAAAAATATGTGTAGAGAAAAAGCTCGAAAGATTATTCCTAGTGAAAATTGTATATCATCATTCAATTTTTTGTAAATATTTAGAGATTTGATTTTTTCATTAATGCATTATTTTTCTCAAAACAGCTTATTCTTTTTATGGAACCTGTATTGGAGAAACTGCAACATAGGATCATTATTTGGGTGAGTACAGTGCATGAACCCAATGCAAGGGTATCCTTAGCTTTTGGGTTAATTCTTATATCATTGATCAAAATTTTCAGTTATATTGTGACAAAGGTTGTCAAAAAAATCAAGACAATATGGTAGCTTTGTTAAAAAGTTGTATTGTACCTGGTTAATGGTAACTTTGAGATCTCAGAAGGAAAGAAGAAAGATGAAAAATTTTACATTTGATTCAACCATCAGCATTCTAGCTTGCTTCAATTTGAGATCGATTTCATTTTATTGTCCAGTAGGAATTTGCTTTGCTCACATTAACATGTGAATATACAAGTAAAATATAATAACACGATGTGTAATTTTGGAAGCTTAAATCAAGATATCGTATGTTTGAATAGTGCCTAGCATATATATTTAAATGCATTTCAAACAGATAGAGCAACGTCAGTGGCTGCCGGGCTCACGATCAATTGGGTAAAATGAATTTAATAAAATTTGGAGTGGACTATTAGGCTATTATTATTATTATTATTAGATAACTTGTAAAAAGGAATAATTTTTTTTATTATGTTGCTTATTTTCTTCATTTTATGATTTTATTTTTCAGATATGTCAGCTATGCCTTCTGTTTGGTGGGACCTTAGTGGTGAAGCTAGTCCTCTCCACTTGTCTAAGCATAGAAGACGATGTAAGGTTCATCAGATTTTGTAATGTCTGTTAAGGGAGCTTTGTTAGGGAAATGTAGTGGCATAAAAAAACATGTCCAGAAATGGAGAGTGCATAATAGTTTCTTTTTTGACATATCTGAAGGAAAATTTAGCTTACATTAAGCCTCATCAAGATGGTACATGCATATGCCGGCTCCATATCATAACGTTGGGTTCTAACTTTTTTGTGATGAAATTATGATTTTAACCAATGCAGTTTGCGTTCTGGACCCATCTTTTAATGCCACAACATTTTGCTAATCTACCTAGTGTTCTTTTTTCCTACTGTTTTATTTAAGGCATGAGTGTGTTGATTGATCTCATATTTAAGTGTGTTTTTGTAATATCTTTTTATACATGTCTTTTCTTTTGGATGTGTGTGTATGTCCATTTGAAAAGCCAGATTTGTTATTCCTCCTTTTCCTCCTTTTTAGATTTTTTTCTTCTTTAGGCTCACTTTGCTAACCTATCTGTTTAGATCAAAGTGCTCTGAATACAAAGTCTTTCAAACTATGCTCTGAAAATGTGCTTCATCTTATGGTTTCAAAAAATTATAATATGATTTTTAGATTGAATTGCCTTTTATAATTAGCCAACTTTTCCTCTTTCCTTTTTCCTTTTTTCTTGTTTAGGCTCATATTGCCAACTTGGTCAGGTCTAAGTTCTCAAGATACAGAGTAGTTCATACTGTACTCTGAATGATGATATGATTTTTAGATTGCACTGTCTATAATAAACGGCCATCTTTTACTTTGTTTCTTGTTTAGGCTCATATTGCCAATCTGTTCAGGTCTAAGTTCTCAGGATACAAAGACTTCCATACCATGCTCTATACGTGTGCAGCAGAGTTTGACTTCATGCAAAATGAGGTAAGCAATCGTTCATTCAAGCATCACCGGTGTGTTGGCTCAGTCAGTAGAGCGTCTGCCTCACAACCGGGAGGTCATGGGTTTGAACCTGGCCGACGTTAAAAGATGGGAGTTGCTGCTACCTTGTTTGGCGTTCAACAATAATGGATAGAGCGACGTCGATCTGGCGCTGCACAGTGGCTGCCGGGCTCACAATCAATTGGGAAAAAAGAATTTCCATTTTTGATTTAACTTAGTAAAATTTGGAGTTGACTTTAAAAGATTATTATTATTATTAATACATCAGAGGTTTTGACTTCATTGGAAAGTGATTGTATAACACATGCTCTGGCAATGATTGCTCCATGTTCAATAAACCAATGTAACAGCAATCCAGGACCTTACACTGCGTGATGCTTTATCCTAACCTAACCTTTAAAATAAAACAACAATCAGAACTTTAGCCCCATCTATCAATATTTTTGATGAAATGAAACCGGGAACAAATGCCAGACAAAATTTATGATAGTGGATTGCCACATGTTTTGAATTGGAATTTAACTTTGTCAGACATAGCAAAACTTCTTCAGTGATTCTAAATGTAAGATATTAAACCATTTGTACATGGTACTACTTATATTCGCATCATGGAAAATTCACTGAATATTCATTAAACATTTCTTATTAAAATAACATATTGATAGAATGTTTACATTGTGTATGTTAAGCTGTACACTAGAATCTGTGTTTGAAACATTGGATAAAATCGTTCAATATTTGTCTTTGTTTCAATGTATAATTATATGCAATTTTCATCACTTTGCTTTGCAGACGGTCATCAAATTCCTGAAGACATTTCTCCTGCCTAGTTCAGCAATAGCAATACTGGTTACAATAATCCATGTAAGTATTTTCTACTTGCAACAAATGAGGTTTTTCAATGACATTTGTGATTAAAGTAATCAAGGAAGATCGAATACGAGAGTTTATCTTTTTCCTCTATTATTTGTAATATTCTTGATATGAAGATCTATATGCCTTTTATGTGTACATGTATTTCTGAGGCAAGTCCTTCATCATTTATTTTTATATGTATTTCTGAATGCATTGTTTCATCACATTTATATAGCACTTTTCATGTGAGGTTGTATAATGTGTGATAATTTTGAAATAATAAACAAACTCTGTAGGTAATGGGAATTAAATGCAAGGATGCATAAAAATAAAAAAAAGTTTGATACAATGTGTACATTTGCATCAGAGAGAGCTTTTTGTCCTGCCACGTTATTCGTAAATTTTTGCTCGTAAACCTCATTATATTTATTCATATCTCTTGAATATGTAAACAAAAAATTGTTTTGTTCTAGGGCCTACATACATACTATCATCTGATCATCATCTCATTGTTAATAATGATTTTTTTTTTTTAATTTGAAACAGCTATTCAGGGTATTCTTACAGCCAAAGATGGAGGAGAATCATAAACACAAAAATGGAAGCAGCCGTGAACAAGTAACCGAGAGGAATGATGATATTCCTGCCAAAGACGAACTGTGAGTCCAATTAAATAATTTAATGCACTTAGCAAAGGAATGAAACCTTATAGCTTCAATTTCACTTGTTATTCTCTTGACTTGTTACTTTAGAAGTTTATTCAGTTCTTTAAAGGTAATACAAAGTTTTGGGAAATTTTGAAAATTGGGTGGATACTGAATCTTTACAATTTTTATATATTTGGATGCCCCTGTGGATGTATTATAAGCACTAAAAAATTAACCCCTAAAACACTTCTGTTTTCGAGAAAAATTGAATATAAAAATTTACCGGTGCTCCCGGTAAATTTTGACAAATTTCAAATAGTGCCTACGGCCGTACAATGGTAGCTGCGACCATGAAAATCTCAGAATATGTAGTTGTGATATACAATTTCCAGATGGGAATAGCTAATTAGTCGAATTTTATCAAGAAACATTGTTTCATAGCTAAATTGATATCTTGACCTTAAGAGGGAGCTATACAACATAAAGAGTTTATTATTTGTAATTTCATAACTTTAGACTCGATTTCAACCGGGACAACGATCAATGAATAATGTAGGAACGCATATGCTTCCAATATGTTAATTTGAATCAAATTCATGACCCTATACCAAAACTTTGTATTACCTTTAACTCTAGAGGATAAGAAATGTTTTCTTGAGAAGAGAGAATGATAGACAGGAAACAAAGTGAAACCTTCTGCACGATTTACCACCTCCAAAATGCACGAAGGGAAATGTTGGTGCACACAGACAGTTTTTCTTATCTGAATGTCCTTTTCTGCATAATTAAGGTAATGGAAGCATATGGTATGTATCTTATCCATATTTTTTTCAGTTGATACCTAAAGTGGCCTTTGTTTGCAACAGCACAATATATAGGGGAATCTGGCTGTTTGCAACTTATACATACCATGTGATTTTTTTTTTAATGATGAAGATGGTGAAGTGCATTTTAACAAAAAATGTTCTGAAGCTTCTGATGCCTTACATCTAAATACATGTAGGCCTTAAGGAAAGCTTTATTTCATGTATGCCAGCATGCTTTGATTCTAATGCTTTCCTTATCTTTCTTCCCAGAGAGGTCAGGCAACTTCCTAATGCAGAGGTGAGATTATTTTTAATGAGATTATTTTTAATTTAAAAAAAAACCAGAATTTATTCTTTTAACTTAATATGATTTATACTCAAAAACCTCATAAACAGCTTATGTTAAAGTAAAACTACTTTGTTATATTCAGACAGCAGTTACTGTTATGCTCTTCCAGAGCAAAGTGAATTGCAATATATAGTGGTTCACCCATGTGTGGACGTGGTTCCTTTTGTGGATACAGTATTATGGTATTTTGTAACCATGAATACAGCATTTTCAGTAAATACAATTCTTGATTACAAGCAGGTTATTTTTCTATAATTATTATGCTTCAGCAACAATCGCTGTACGGTCAATTTCCTACATTACACTAACCACAGCACTTGCTTCAATCCTCAACCAAATACTATACCTACATCAACCCTAATCTTAAACCTGATTTAGTTGCAACTCTAACTCTAACTATAGTCTGTGAAGAAGTAAACCACAGAGCAAATGTTGGAGCATTTGTTCAGTTACCTATGATACCAAATACTTTAAAAGCTCCATCTTCTTTTCCATGTTGTGTAGCTGGTATACCATCTGTTGCAGCTGTCGGCTTTCCTGGTGATGGCAGTACTTGTCATGAGACTGAAAGTCTTCTTCTCACCACACCTATGTCTTATCTCAAGCATGCTGGCATCCAAACAGGTAGGTTGATACTTAAGATTTTATTACTACCTCAAATATTACTACCCCCCCCCCAAAAAAAAAACAACATTACATGAAGGAAACTTACTAGTACAATCCACCCCCCCCCCTTTGTTAGCTGTCCTAGTGATGCCAGTATTGGTCACAAGGCTAAAAGTCATCTTCTCACCGCATCTGTGTCCTATCTCTAGCATCTTGGTATCACGACACGTAGTTCAGTACTTTCAGAGTAACACATTGTACCCAACAGATTAGTACCCTCTTGAGAAAACCCTACATGAAGGATCATTTCCCTTTCTCTTTGTTAGCTTTTGTAGCAATGGTAGTACCGGTCATGAAGTTGAATGTCTACTTCTCACCTTAACTATGTCTTTATCGCTTGCATGCCGGCATCAAGACAAGTAGGCCAATTTATGATTGTATCAGAACAACTGTCACTGGACAATTACCCTCTAGAAAAACCTGCTGGAACAGCATTATATATTACTGTTCATTATGCACGTGGAATGAAATTACTCTCTGATTTAGCAGAAGAATTTTATATGGTCTTTTCAGTTCATCACATGCCAAGATTATTTGTTCTTAGTATGTCAAGAGAAGTGTGTTTTCATCTGCATGTATCTCTTATCAGGGTATCCCCGATTATTTGTAGAGTAGGGAGGGGGAAGGGTTCAGACCATATTTTTTAGACCAGTTAGCAAGAAAAATAATCCAAAAGAGAGTGAGAGAATAAAGAAGGATGATAATTCTTGCAATTTTATGAATACAGTACTGTATTTTTAAAAATGCAGAAATATTTTTTTTGATTTGACATCAATCCATAATTCTCCTGGCCCTCATTCTCTTTTTTTTTTCCTCACTGCTCTCTGTAAATTAATTAATTTATCTTGTTGATCCATCAGATATTTAAGTTCTTCAGATCAGACATGCATCACCAAGCTGCAATATTCATCTTACTTGCAATGATGTCCGTCCAGGGCTTTCTGAATCTTCAGCATCAACGGAGCATACAGGGAGACTTCTCTAATCCACCACAAGAAGAACTGCTTGAGTGGATTATGCAAAACACATCAAAAGGTATTATGATGGGGTGTTGGGTGTCCGGACACTTAACAAACATAAAGACTTCTCTTTTGCCTTTTGGAGTAAATGGAAAATATTTATCAAATAGCACTAACCATCGTGAATATTTGTCCTTTATAATATAATATAATATTTATGAAATATTGCTTTTAAACTTCAAATTGTTGATTTAAACAACATCTGGGTATACCTGTCCTTTTTTATAAACAGACAATGAGAACTACAAAGAAAACTACAAAGTACTAGAATAGCTTCAAACAATGGTATTCTGATGCTTTTTGTCTTCCACTCGTCAGAGTTACCGTAAACACAAGAATGAATAGAAAACCAAGATCTATTGTTATAAATGGAAGATAGAGAGAACAGAGAATATGAAAACCTACCTGATTGAACAACAGAACTCATGCTTTTTTCCCTCTCACAAATGTCTTTAGATGCGGTGTTTGCAGGACCAATGCCTACCATGGCTTCCATCAAACTATCAACAGGGAGGAGGATAGTCAATCATCCACATTATGAAGATGCTGGACTAAGGTATGTACGAGTCTTGAAATGCACTTCTCATTACCCTTTTTGAGATCCTATTTTCCCACTTCTGTTTCGGCATAACTGGAGAATACCCCACATAGCTTCAGCACTATGACATAACTGCCAACCATTCATTAAGGTTAGGGTGAGGGGTTGGGTTGGAGTTAGTGATAGGGTTACTTGTGGGGATGGGTATTTGCAGTTGTTCCTAATTTTTCATCCAGAAGAACATATGTATTCTAGAATTTGTGTGAAAACCTCTTTAGAAAAGATTTCTGCAATGTTTTATTGAATTGCCACTTGTCTCTACTCGTATAAAGTTAAATAATTGTCTACGACTTGTATAGAAAGGCCACTTTTGTTGAGTTTTCCAAGTGCTACTTGTTTCGTTTTGCCAACAGAAGTCCTGTATTTAACTATCATGATAATGGACCCTACATCAACATAACTGTACATGTAGTTATTTTCTTACTCTTATATTATATCACTGAATTCTCTAATTGCCATAGGCTTAATACAGGACCACTCAATTCTATGCGTCTTTAAACGGTTGTTCACTCCTGAAGATTTTTTTCTTTCTCCTTATGATCAGAGCAAGGACCAAGTTAGTATATGCCATGTACAGCCGCAAACCAGGCAAGGAAGTCCATGAGGGTTACAAGTCTCTCGGAGCACAGTATGCCATCCTCGAGAGATCCTGGTGCAGCCGCAGATCCAAGTGAGTTCTTTATATGACATCCTTTAAAATGTCCCAATCGCCTACAAAGATAATTCGTGTATAACTACATTTATAAAAATCAACCTAAGAAAAACTTCACCTGGCATTCTATGTCATAGTAGACAAGGAGAATGGAGAAAATAAAGAATAACATAAAATTGTGCACATAGAACTGAAGTCACAATTTAGTTAAGTGCAGGCCCCATGTTATGCCAGCCCGTACGTGTGCGTTGAGTAGTCTGCTCACAAGTTTCTTTTTATGATAATTGAGTGTGCATTTAAACTTGCTATATCTCATTACAGAAGTAATTTTCTTGTAATGGAATTGCATTGCTAACCTTAGAGGCATACATGTAATAAGCACTATATAAGCCCAGAATAATAATAATTTTTCTTCTTTTGCAGGTTTGGGTGCAGCATGCCAGAGATATGGGATATTGAGGATCCAATCAATGCTTTCAAGAGACCGCTATGCTTGCGGATTGAAGAAAGATCTACACCCTACTTTTCTCCAGTGTTCACCAATGGAGTGTACACAGTTCTCCGAGTCTGATGCAGTAATTCTGGCATGGGAATATCATACTAAAGAATTGAGGAAGGCAATCAGGGTTTCAGGAAGTGCTGAAGAGAGAGACCATTGTGCTTGTGGATTGAAGAAAGATACGTTTCAGCGGTGTTCACAAATGGAGTTTACACAATTCTCAAAGTTTGAAAAAACATTTGGAATTCAGGAAGGTGCTACTCTATATTAACCAGTGATCACAAGTGGAGTCTATACCTTGCAAAATGTTTGATAAATTGGTTAGGAGAGACCAATGTGCTTGCAGATTGAAGAAAGATCCACACCCTAATTTTCACCAGTGTCTACAAATGGAGTGCACGCAGTTATCAAAGTTTGATCAAATGCTGACAAGAGAACATCGTACTTGAAAATTGAGAAAAGCACAACACCGTACTTTACACCAGTGTCAACAAATAGAGTGCACACAGGTCACAGTTATCAAAGTTTGATCAAATGCTGACAAAAGAACACCGTACTTGAGAATTGAGAAAGGCACAACACCGTACTTTACACCAGTTTGTGTGGAGTGCTGAAAGCCTAGTGAAGTTATGCTTTGAGATTAAGCATTACAAGACATTTAACTTTCCACCTCTTGTTCAGTAATAATGGAACCTTACCATTTTGAGTTTGGTCATCACGTTTGTTGATTATAGAACAGTATCTTATAACCAAATGCAAGAGTTCTAAATTTTCCGCAGGAGAAGTACACTCTTCCAAGTTTAATCGTCACATTAAAAAAATCTGATTGAACTATATTTATATCTACTACCGCAATAGTTTTCCAGAAAAGAAACTCCATTTGAAGTTTAGTCATCCATTTGTTCAACTTCTTGAACCACAATATTATTTTGCTTATTTATTTGTCTTCCTTTGGTTTGTCAGCAGTAAATGTGTTTTACTATATACAATCATCAGGAAAATTCAAGGTATTTTGTTTTTTCTGCGTTGAGCTAGGAGGGCATCCACACATATACTATAACACAGAGTTAATGCCCTTCTGGCTCTATACAGACAATTTCTTGATTGTAAATTGTACATTTCTTGACTGAAAATGCAGGGTGATTAACAATTTTGAAACTTTAGGCTGAAAGTAGTTGGAATTTGTTTCAAATACTTGGTAAATGTTTTCTAACCAGTTTTCTGTCGTTTACTGTACTAAAATTTTAGTGACATACTTTTACATTGTAACAAAGAGCCTTTTGTATCCTTTGTATTTCCTTCTTGCCTTGGTATATTCACCTTGAATGTTTGCAACGTTTCATCATCTCGTGAGGACTAGAAAGACCTAAATCAACTTAATTTGGGAGTCTGAGAAAATAGTCATTAGGGCATCAGTAAAGGTATGATTGTGAGCAACTATCCAGTATAAAATTCTGTCACAAATGTACTTGCATGTAAATTTATATGTCAAGCCCCTCCGTCGCAATTAACAGAAGACTTTTACCCATATGTTAAAATGATACTTTAATTGATGTAAAATATAAATTGTTAACTTGAATAAGGCAAGAATGATTCTCATTGTTTCAAAAACTGAGTCTTGCTATCATAAAAACTGTTAACAAATAAAAGCAATAATTATGCATGCAGGAGGTATTTTTCCAACACATGCAGGATTTGTGTGTGCAACAAAAGCAATGATTATGGAAACAAGGTACTGTTTGTTCTAGTAGCAAGAATATACACATCAAACCTACCAGGGCAATAACATGAATATACATCATATATTATTCCAAGACAGAATATTACCCACCAAATGGAGTAAAAATACAGATGAAAGGTGTATTAGATCTATGAATTTATGTATATATATTTAATGAAAAGTGCTTGTAAAGTTACTGATGACTCCATTTCTTTTTACCAAGATATTGGCCATGTTGATGAATCAGTTTCATAAACTTATATTTGAATGAATTCAAAGTTTCAATCCAATTCTTTAAATGGTGCAGATATACAATAAACCATTGTAATAAAACAAATATTTGTCTGTTTTTTTATATAGTGTATAAAGATGTAAATGAACAATCAGAAGGAGGGTGAAAGAAATTGTAAAGCGAGAGAGTAAAATAAGGAAGAAATAGTGAGAGAGAAAGAGAGATAGAGAGAGAGAGGGAGAGAAATTTGAAGAGAGAGACAGACAGAAAGAAAGAGATAGAACATTGAAGAGAGAGAGAGAGAGAGATAGACAAAGACAGAGAAGAGAGGGCTAGAGAGCGAGGGGAGAAATAAAAATGAGAGAGAGAGAAAGAGAACTTGGCTCGAGCAATTGCGTATCCAGAAATTGCAAACCGTAGCCTCCCCCGCCTCCTAACGGAAGTGTTTGTCTGTGTGTGTGGGGAGGGTGGATAGGGTCAACGTACCTGATTAGCCCCCATATGTTGTAGGTCCATTCATGCTGTCATGGTTTTGTCCAGAACCTGCGAAAGGGAAGGGGGTGTTTAATAGTCGGCTTCACTCTATGTTGGACATGCCCCTCTGCCGAACGGGAGAGGGAATAAACAGAAAAATAAGAGATTCAAAAATTGGTGGCACCTTTCAAACTTTTGTGTACGCTATGTGTTATTTAAAGACTGATAATTAAGTGCAAAAAAGGACAATATTAAGTGAAGCCAAACATTAACAAAGTGAGTAATTGTCTGAGGAAGATGTCTTAACAAGAGAGTGTACGTAATCCCCCACTTTATACCAGTTTCCTAAACGCCTTTTGAGATAAAGTGCTCTAGATATACGTTTTTCTTATACTGATGTATTCAAAATCTTAATTGGGGTGGGGCTTCCAATTAAAAATCGTTGTAATCACTCTCATGACAAGAAATGGTTCCTAGCTGCTTCAGCTAGTGATCTCAATCTTTTAAAAATGACGCATGAATTATTCTAAGGTCAATTCGTCACTTTTTGCTTATGCAACACTAGTTTCATTAAACTAGTTTCAAATGAACGACACTTAAAACAATTAAAAAAAAGATCTTCACGTAAACTTGTGAATCGCGCCCGCACTTTCGCCTGTTTGTCCTTCACAAGTCACATTCGTAGTCATTGCATGTACTTCGGCTATCACTATTGGTCTGTAGTTTTAATTGTTCTTCGAGGAGTACTGGGAAATCAACATCTAGCATACGAATTAGTCGTGTATCCTCTTCAAACATTTGTGGATTTGGACACAGCTTGTTTTTGACATATTCAGAGGTAAATATATGGTGTCGATAAGTGGCATATTTTCTAATGAATATATCTTGTTAGATGTTTTGTGCGATAGACTCTCTGCTATAAAAGTACATGGAACATTTATGTACGGGTGATTGACTTGTGGTTTACGCATGGTGAATGTGTCTGTAAAGTAAAGTTAGCAGGAGTTACTCCCTATTTGAGACTGAGTTATATTCTTATATACTTATACATGTATGTATATATTTATAAACTAGTCTTGACCTTTAAATTGATTTAACTGTTATAATTACCATATTAGTAATCTCATTGTTTCTCGTATATAGATCAAGTATATATATATATATATATATATATATATACTAAAACATAGCAAGCTACCATTTTACATGAAACGGTAGCTCACCCAAGGGCCACATCTCATAATCCTAAATAAAAGGCGAAATGAATATAAATCTGAGTATCATTATTACTTTTAGACCTAATATCAGGAGCTTTCATGGTTTGAAGAAGACTCAATATTTCATTCAAATTGCACCAGTTCTTTGATTATTATGGTGATTTCATTTTCTATTTTTTGTTGTTCAAGATGCCGCTGAAAATGTCTTTCTTCAAACATCGTGTTTTCTTCTTGGTGTGTTTGTTCCTCTTCATCGGAAACACGGGTAAGAAAGTTGGAATTCCATACACAAGATATAACAAGGTCGCAAGATAGCAAGACTTTAAAAAAAAACTTATAGGCAATTTGAATACTTTATGGGTCAATGCTTATAGTATATTCCATCGAAATCATGTTCGGCCGTCATTGTAATGTTTGCAAATTGTAATGGGTAATGGACATATTATGTGCATATATAGGCTGTGGATGATATGTATTTAATGAGTTTCACTGATGGATGATTAATTATCAAATATTAACTCGCCAACAATCTCCCCCAAAGTTTCTCGACCAGTTGATGGGATCATGGGTGTACGGGCACAATTTTGCAGGGGTGACACCCCGTGCCCCCCCCCCCCCCCCAAAAAAAAATCAACTTTGCTGTTTATACACATGTTTTCCAGCGACTGACAGTTTACTTTTGTGGCCAACATATACCAGTTAACCACAAATGAGTTGACGATGGCTCGAACAATTATTATTCAAAAATTATCGGCCGGGCTGCAACCCCTTCCCCAAAGCCTCCTCCTCAGTGATGAAGGTGTCGTGGTTCACTGGTTCACGCACCGCCAATCAATAAATTTGGGGTCCAAATCCCTTGTCAGCATGCCATTAAAGATAAAGACCAGTTCTGGTCATGCGATTGCATTGTGAAAAAAACGTTGTGGAATCGATCAGAAAAGGTTGACCATCTAGCATATAAGTATACCACAAGGTTCTGGAATCATCAACATGATAAGAAATTTGGCTCAGTCTTCGTAAAGCTACATGATAAGAAATTTGGCTCAGTCTTCGTAAAGCTACAAGCACTGTACACAGGTGTATATGGGACTACACACACATACGCGACACGTGCGTATTATCTATTTGGTCCCAATAGATAAAATAATTTACCAAAATTAATATATCAATTAGTAGGCAGTTTCCCGGCAAAATTGTTATCATCATGTATTAGTCAAAATATATTATTTCACATGATTGGTAACAAGAGCTTTCATTTTTGAGAGGGGGGGGGGGGGGGGGGGGGGACGCGCGTTTCCAAAACTGGTCTTTACCTTTTAATGTCTTTTGCCAAGATATAACCCCTCATTAGAGAAAGAAGACGATTCGTTGTACCGTTCTCGAAAATAATCCTCGTCTGAATACAGCTTTTACGTTTCATTAAATCATTAGCGAAATAAGACGATTCGTTGTACCGTTATGACTTAATCCTTGTCTAAATTCAGTTTCCCCCCCTCCCACGCGAAGCGCGGAAGCTTTTACGTTTCATTAAATCATTAAAGAAAGAAGACGATTCGTTGTACTGTTCCCGACTCTTAATCCTTGTCTAAATTCAGTTTTCCCCCGCTTCGACGTTTCATTAATTTTTTAGAGAATGAAGACGATTCGTAATTGTTCCGCTCTCGAAAATTATTTAGTTTCCCCCACCCGTGCGAAGCGCGGAAGCTTTTACTTTTCATTAAATCATTAGAGAAAGAGGAAGATTCGTCGTACCGTTCTCGACTCTTAATCCTTGTCTAAATCAATCCCCCCCCCCCTTCCGCGCGAAGCGCTGAAGCTTCGAAGTTTCATTAAATTATTATAGAAAGAAGACGATTCGTTGTACCGTTCCCGAAAATTATCCTCGTCTGAATTAAGTTCCCCCTGCCCTCCCCCGCGCGTAGCGCGGAAGCTTTGACGTTTCATTAATTCATTAGAGAAAGAAGACGTTTCGTTGTACCGTTCTCGACTCTTAATCCTTGTCTGAATTTCAAATATGTTCTTTGTCTATCTCTTTTCTTCCTACGTCCTCTTCCTTTACACTCCTCTCATTTTTGGCCGGCGTTTATTGGGGGACCACCCCACCGCCTCCCTGGCTACGCGCCTGCTGTCAGATGAACATATTTTGATACCTTGTCCGCCCCGGAAGCTCAGGGGTTTAATGTTTTAATTTACGGTCAGATTAGCATTCAGGGGTCCGCCTTAGCGCCCTAGACGGGGTCCAGGGGGCAGAGCCCCGGAAGTTCAGGAGTTTAGGCATTTAATTACGGTCAGATGAGCATTATTAAATAATAATTTATAGGGCAGTTTAATTATCTGTAATGTTATTATTAGAATTATGTATTATTATTGCTGTATGTTTATTTTACGTTGTACCTAATTACTTGTATGTTAAGCGCTTAGAAACATTGTATTAAGCGCTTTATAAATGTAATTTATTATTATTATTACTATTTTGATACCTAATTGTTACAATGGCAGGTCACTAATTGGCTTGGGGTTCAGGGGGCGGAGCCTCGGAATCTCAAGGGTTTTAGGCACTCAATTACGGTCAGATGAGTATCGAGGGGCCCGCCTAAGGGCTCTTGGTTGGGTCCAGGGGGCAGAGCCCCCAGAAGCTCAGGGGTTTTAGGCGTTTAATTACGGTCAGATGAGCATTTTTGATACCTTATTATTTGTGACACTAGCAGGACACTATTTGGCGTGGGGTCCAGGGGGCAGAGCCCCCAGAAATCAGGGGTTTTAGGCATTAAATGACCGTAATATGAGCATCTAAGGGCCTGCCTTAGGGCCCTAGGTGGAATCCATGGGGGCAGAGCCCTTAGGATTTTAGGCATTAATTTTAATCATGGTCAGATTTGCATATTTTGATACCCCATTATAATGTGACACTGGCAGTTAACTATTTTTTCTTTCTCTCTCTCTTTCTTTCTATTTCTCTTTTATATACTTTGTGGGGGGAGGGGCTCGAGGATCCCGATCCCCGCCGTTCCGCAGGCCCTGATATGTAGGCATCTCAAGAAGCATTTTCTTGCCTGGCTGTAAATTTAGGAATTTGTCATTTTCCAACAAACGCATGAAGTGAGGAAAATTATCTCATTTCAGCATTATTTGTTAACCACCGTTATGGAATTATAAATAAACCACGTTTGAATTCTATTTCTCCAACCCCCCCCCCCCTCCCCTATCAGTATGCCAGTGCCCCCCCCCCCCCCCCCCCCCCCCCCCCCCCCCCCCTCCGATCTATACCTTGTTGGCGGGAAAATTGCAACTGATATCCCTTACCTTTCTTCATTCTCTTTTTTTTCCTTTCCCTTTCTCTCCTTTTTCACTTTCCCTTCCCTTCCTTATCTCTCTTTTAGGTTTGCTGGGGGGGGGGGGGGGAGGGGCACGGTC